TTTATGGGCGCGGCCCACTCACCCACCCTCTGGAAAGTATCCAGGAGGACTCACGGGTACAGGAAGCTGAAGGCGGGTCGGTGGGGGAGCGTGCATAGCTGTCCTGGCACACGCAGAAGGTGGAGGCGTTTTCCAGGGCCCGACTGTGCTCTGGGCAGGGCGAGCAGAAGGGTCTCCGGGAGGACACCTTGTAAAACCCTGGGGGGCAAGCTGTAGGGAGGAGCCAGGTGAGAAGGGGGCTCCTTTACAGCTTCTGTGTCCCCCACCTTCCTGCCTGCTCCCATTAAGATGGGGTTCTTCAGTTGTAATGGGGGAATGGGGTGGGGGTCTCTACTACTCATCCCCCATGGGATGGCAGCTTGGACTTCACCACCCATCATTACCTAACCCTTAGTAAGTGCTTACTGCGTGCCAGAACACAGGATGTTTTATAGTTCATGTAAGCCTCACAATGACCTGTGAGGTTTGTATTATATTCCATTTTAAAAATGAGAAACTAAGGCTCAGAGAGGTTAAGTAGCTTTTCCAAAGCCCCACAACTAATAATTGGTGGGATTCCACCTGAAGTCGATGGGCTTCAGAGCCCACACCTTGCTGCCCTCGTACCCCTGTCTAGTCTTGAAGTGAGGACAGGCCCCTTTCTGTTACCCAGAGACACTGGCACACTCCCACAAGAGCTGGTTTGGGAAGGATGACTGCTCTCCATTACGTCTAAGACATGATGCAACAGAAGGGCTGCAGACAAGCCCTCAGGAAGAAACATCAGCCTGTCTGGGAAAAGGGCAGGGACTGAGGGTTGCCACTGTCTGGAAGGTTCAGGCTTGAGAGGTCCACCATGCAGAGTCCAGGGCCTCTGCCTAGAGCATTTGGAAGAAGCTGCCTTCAGAACAGAACCTGGCACACGTGGCCTGGTGGGCAGCAGCAACCAAGACAGGACTCGGGAGGCCTGGGCTCCTCGCAGCGTTAGCCCTGCATCCCTGGGCCTCTCTGTCCTGCGCAAACCAATTCACAAGGGAGTAACCACCAAGGCCGCCCACCTCTGCTGTGAAACAAGACAGCAGTCTGTTTGCTGGGGTCTCACAGCAATAGGAAAAGCTCTCCCCACCCCTTTGGGGGGAGGAGCATGGGGCGGGGGGGGGCAGGGAGTCTTTTATTCCAGAGATGGGTGGCCCCATCAGAAATAGCAGCGTTGGGTATCTCTATCCTGGTATCTCTATCCGAGAGAGTCTGGTTTAGAAGTGTTGTGTTTAGAAGTGTGTTCAGAGGAAGACTCAGGAATGGACTCCGGGCCCCATCCTCTCATCCTCAAGGTCAGAGTCCGAAGTCCAGAGGTCCTCTAGTTCAACTCCCAGGGTCAGTTCCCCAGCAGCTTTCCTAGAAATAGCCACAGTCTTTGCTCATTTGCTTTACAAAAGGGAGCCCACCCACCTCTGAGACTGCCTCTGCAGTTAGAAAATGCTTCCTTGTGATCCCTGTCTGCCCCACTCCTGCCTCCACCCCACTGTACCCCTGTGGAGCCTTAGCGAGCATATCTGCTGAGGTCCTGCTCCAGGGCAGTCCCACCATGACTTGAAGGCACAGGTCATATGCCCGATGCTCCAAGTCTTTCAAAAATTCTTCCGGTGATTGGGAGAGGGGGAACCAGAGCCAGGGTCACTAGAAAGAAAAGTAAAAAGGGGGGGAACATCTTCATTTTTCCTTTCCATATCTATCTGCTCTTAGAGAGGGTTCTGTGCTTAGCTGCAGAAGGTACTAGGAAGGCCTTACCTTTCTAAATACAGAGCTGACCATCTCGCTTCCTTTCTTAAAACCCTCCTGCAGCTCCCCATGGCCATCACCCCGCCCCTGCCATATCGCTGAGCCTTTCCTGTGTCTAACTCCCTTTCTCACTGTGCTGCTCTGGAGTTCAGTTCAAGATAATACACCCTTGTGTGTAGCTGGCATCCTCCCAGCTCCTTCGTCTCAAGTCAGAGCTTATGCCATTACAAGTGGTCTCTGTCTGACCATAGCCTCCCTTAGAAGTCCATTTAATTTCTGAACCTCTTTCTCTCTTCCACCTCCCCCCACCCCAAGTATGTATCCATACCTCTTCCTCCAGCCCCATTCTTTCCACTTATTCAACCAATGTTAACATCTACTATGAGCCAGGTGCTGTTCTAGGTTCTGGAGAGACAACACTTCTATTTTCCACTGGTTCAGCTGTCCTCCTTCCTAACTCATGAGGATTCACTCAACATCTGCCATCAAGCCCACAAACACCTCCATCCACACCCATCTTCCCTCCTCCTTTCTTCCAGGCCCAAAGGGAACAAGCCATGTTGAAAGCCAGCCCTCCTTCACTCTGAGTCCGGCCTCTCTACCCATTCCCAGGCCGTTTCTTCAGTCATCTCACTTCCAGGTTCTTACCCAGCTTCGTCTCTACTGGCTCTCTCCAGGAACAGAACAAGGAAATGGACAGTAAAAGCAGTCACTTAGGGTGCAGGGTATTGTTTACTTTTATTGTTTAAAAACAATAAAAGTAGCTAAAACATGACCTGCATGCTATTAGTAGTATGTACCAGCCACTCTAACCCACATCAATAACAAAATATTCCCTCCTTCTGGGGCAAACTGCTCCCTCTCTACCCCCTCCACACACATTTGGTACCCCAATTTTCCTCCTCTTTGTACAGTAAACATCCTCTCAACCCAATGTCCTCAAGATATGCCCCATTCAACAACCATTTCAAATCCAGTCATTCAAGAACTGCTTATTCCCTCACTTCAGCTCCTCACTTTCCTTCATTCTGAAGCTTGGTCTCTCCAAATGCAAGCAACACTATTCTCACCAGAGCCACCAAACAGACACATTTTCCAACCCTTACCATATCAGATGGCTCACCAATACCATAGGCCATTTCCTCCTGGATGCCTCCATCTCCCTTGGCTGCCTCAAATTGATGCTCCTAGATCTTCTCCAATCACTGACCACCCCCTCAGTCTCTCCATGGACTCCATTTCCTCTGCTCCCTTCAAACTCTGCTGACCTGTGAGACTTCATCACTGGCCCTCTTGCTTCTTGCCACACATTCTCCCTGGTCTGTCCCCACCACCTCTACAAGTTCAGGTAGCATCTATGGCTCACTTGCTGAGCTCCAGTCCTACTTTCTAGCTGACTCCACTTGAGTGGACAATGGACCACATCCTGTGCTCTCTACTCCAGTCACTGACCCTCTGTCCACTCAACACTCTGTGAGCATCAACTGTGGATGCTCTCTCAGCACCTCCATCCTCATTGCTCAATCATCTCTGCTACTGCCCGAGTTCAGACCATGCCCTCTTTCTCCCAGACTGTCCCATCATCTTCCTCCCTCATCTTCTAGCCTCTAATACTTTCTTCTCCGATTCTTTCTTTGTAATTGCAGCTTGAATGATCTTTTAAAAATACAAATCTGAACATATCAGGTCCCTGCATCATATCTTCCCCATTGGCCCAAAGCATCATATCTAAGATCTTTCTTACAATGTTCAAGGCCCTTCATGATGTTCCCCTGCCCCTCTCACATCCATTGCCCCTCAACTACCCAAATGCCCTGGGGCTCCAGTCACACTGACTTGCCTAGCCCCAGCCATCCTATGTTCTCTCTTGCCTCCATGTTTCTGCATATAACCTAAGTCAGAATGCTTTCAGCTGCTTGGAAGAAAAGCTTTCCTGCTATTTCTCTCCACTCTTAGACTTGGGGTCTCTAGTCTTCCCCAGCTCTCTTCTGAAATATATCATACCCATAGTAACTACCTTTATCTCTACCACACATTTCCCCTGGACCTACCTGCCATATCTTGTCCACTAGGGTTTCTGAGACTAAAATGATTCATTGTCTGAGTTCAAGAATTTCCTAGCCTAGTGATAGAAACACACTAAATTAGTAGGTCTCTGCAATAGTGTATGTAGGTTCAAAAGAGGTTGCAATGGCACTGGAGAGCACAGAGGTGGATCCAATCCTCCTGGGAAAGTTTGGGAAGATTTGTGCATGACTTGAAGCTCCTTACTAAACCACAAGTTCCCCTCAGGGAAGAAATCATGGCCTTCATCTTTGTATATATGATGCGCCCTCAGTAAATGCAAACGGTATGCCTTCAATCCATGTCAAGTGAATGACTGAACAAAGGAATGGGAGCAGCATTTAGTCACTTCCTCCTCTGCATCCCTACCACTGTAGGAACCCCCATATTATGGCATATAGAACTGTGTTGTGATTATCACATTTTTCAACTCTCCATCAAGACTGTGAAATTCTTAAGAGCCAAGATTGTAACTAATTCATTACTGTTACCCTGGCACCTGGAAAAGGACCTGGCTTAGAAAAAGCATCCTTGATCTTTCTACATTAAGGCTCACACCAAACCCATCCTTGTCCTCAGTCCTCAGAGTCAAAGGTAGGGGAGAAAAGGAGAGGCTTATCCCAGCTGCCCTCACTGACCCAAGAATCCAACAAAACCCCAACAGGAAGGATCTCCCCCAGGGGGCACTATGGCTCTAGTTCAGAGAATTAGGTGGGATCTAAGTAGTCATAGAATGTACCTCCTAATCTCACTTGAGTTCAAAACCTGCCTGTTAGCATCTGCCTTGGGAATTGTCAGTGACAGATCGATCATGTCAGTGATTCCAGTCCATAGCTAGTGGGTTGGGCTGCCGTGGACTTCTTTCTTATACATAAAGAAGACAGTATAGTGTGGTCGAAAGAACCCAAGAGAGTTGGGCAAATCTGGTTCCCCCATTTCCTACCTCTGCATGTGAGAGTTAATCTCTCTGAGCCTCTGGTGAAATAAGGATAACTTATTTATTGCCATGATCTTCCTAAAATATTAGCCCCTAAAATATCCTTCTATGGAGTAAAATTCATCTTCTAGGAACTTCATTCACCAGTCCTGGTTGGACCCACTAGAGCTCTGCAGCCCATTTCTCCTCCACCTCTCCTCCCACCTCTTTCACCCAGATACTCTCAGTTGCATCCTGTGCACTACACTCCCACAACACATCCCCCAGCCCACTGGGTACCTTCACAGACGTCACCATGTTCCTGGAATCCAGCACTACAGCTGCAGCGGCCCACGGGCACCAGCCACTCGCCATCCGCACCACAGTGCATGCGTGGGGGACTGCTGGGCTCCCCTTCTGAGTGCGCCACACACGTTCCGGTCACCTCCACTAGTGTGGAGAAGGCACTTTCCGCTGCGGTGGCTGGGAACATTGCCAGGCCCTGCACCGTGGCACGGCACTGCTTGTAGTAGACACGCACAGAGACTAGAGCCACGCATGCGCCCACATCCTGAAAGGCCAGGTGGAAACCCCGCCGACTGAGGGGGCCAATTTCGCGCACCTCTGTGTTCAGCTTCATCTTGCGCTCGCCCAGGTCACCCTGCGTGAAGCTCTCATCAGCTGCTATGGTGTCTATCTTGCGGGGCCGGCTACCACCTAGTCGGGGACGCCCACGACCCAGGTCAGCCTCTGTTTCCACGTAGTAGACGTTAAAAGTCTCCTTGCAGGTGCCGGCGGCACCAGGGATACTGCTGCAGTCTCGCAACGTGAACTGCAGCTCCACAAAGATGCGCTGCCCATTGCCACGGCTGATCCAGCCAGTCTGCAACCAGTTGTCCTGATTGGGCTCCAGCACGTTGCACACCTGGTATGTGCGGATGGGACGATCATGTTCATCCACGCCACTGATCTCCTCCCACTGGGGAGGAGAACAGAGATGTGGTCAGCTCAGAGCCAAGGTCCCCCCCAGGAATGATGACTCAAGCTGAAAATCCTTTCTCATCATTTAATATCCTCCCCCTACCCTACCCTCTCTGCACATTCATTAAATTATAAGATACAGAGCTAGGAAAAATCATCAGAGAACACTTAGTACAAGCCCTCATTTTATAGATGGAGAAACTGAGGCTCTGGAAGGAGAGTGATGACTAAATATGTGCATCAAGTACAGCAGAGCTAGGAATGATGTTTGGAATCCCCTGGCTCTCCATCCAGTGCCTTTTCTGTGACACCAAGCTGTGGTCACAAGCTACATCTCCTAGCCTCACCCAAATTTCTTTCTGCATTCCAATTATTTTAGGATTCCAAGTCTTGTTCATTCTGTCAAGCCATGAATCAACAGCACTGCTTGCAGTATCTACCTTGTGCAAGACACTGTCCAGCATTGGATTATCCAGATGTCACATTTCTGTTTCTAGACACAGCCTCTCCCACTTTTTATGGACAGTCTGAAGATTCAATGTTTTTGAATAGGACACTCTGACTTGAAGTCAGAGTTATTGGAGATCACATAAGTATTTTGTTCTTATGTAATCATGAGGAACTAAGACTGAGTTCTGGACCATCAGAGGTTCCCTGGACTGGAAAGGAAACATTTACACTTACCCCATTACTTGGTAGTGTAGTCCAGCCTAGTTCAGCCTGGGAAGACTTGGAATCCAGGAGGATGACTAGGGAGAGGGGAGAACAGAGATGTCAGAAGGCCACTGTGGGGATGAGGAGAGGGAATACTTTGGCAAGCTCATTGTAAATTTGTTACTTTACATGGAAAATATGGCAAAGGACACAGACAAATTGACCTCATTCCATTCATCCCCAGGAGGGAGTTGGTGTGAGTAGTCCAGACAGAGGTAGCCCCAATGGCTAGGGGAGGAGTCTATATTAGGGGTCTATATTAATTTGCTATAAAAAAATTACCACAAACTTTGTGGCTTAAAACAACAGAAATTTATTCTCTTACAGTTACAGAGATCAAAAGTTGGAAATCAGTTTCATTGCTTAACAGCACTAGTTCCTTCTGGATTCTCAGAGAGGAAAATACATCTCCTTCCCTTCTTAAATTTTTAGTGGCAACCTGTATTCCTTGGCTTGTGGTCCCCTCCTGTCTTCAAAGTACATCACTCCAATCTCTGCTTCTATTATTGCATTTCCTTTTTCTCTGACTTCTTCTGTGTCCATCTTAGAAGAATTATTGTGATTACACCAGGCCCACTCAAATAATCTTCATCTCAAAATCCTTAATTGTATTTATTATATCCTTAATTGAAATCTTCTGCCATTTAAGACAAAGTTCACAGATTTTTGGGATTAGGATGTGAGCATATTTGGAGAGCATATTCATTCCCATCACAGCCTATGATAAGTACTCTAGGACTGACTCTAAAATTAGGGGGGTGTCAATGAGTTCCCTGCTACCTCAGGTTCCCAAAATTATAACTGATGGTCATGAAGAGGGAGAAAGTGAGTCTATCAGAGGAATCCTCTTTGAGGTCTGGGGTCACCAGGGATGGAGGAGACTTGAACCATTAAAGTTTGACTTTCAGGGCCTCTGAAGAAAACATATTAGCAGAGGAGAAATAACAACCTCTTATCTCAGCCATCCTCTTTCCTAGCATTTTTCCATCTCCACCATCTTTGAATGGATACCAAGTTTCTTTTTATATATAAAATCACGACCCCTCTTACACCACAGAGACTTGAAGTCACTTTCTTTCCCCAGAAGGCATCATACCAGCTGTCTGAATTCTGCTGTCAATGTAGATGCCGCTAAAACATTGGACAGCACAGCAGCATGTCAGAAAAGGAGCCCATCCTGAAATCTTAGATTACTCATCTAGAGCTTAAGCATTGGATATCCAATGTGAGGACTTCTAAGAGTATTAGCTATAGAGGCATAAGTAAGGACCTTCAGCAACACCCCGGTTTCAGTATAACTGATAGCATACTGAAATTGCATATTAGAAAATGTCAGAAATCCAACAACCAGAGACAAACCTGGTGGTCAGCACCTCAGATTTCAGGTCCTCATGATCCTGCACCTAGATATGACGCATCTGGATTCAAGTGAGTAGACAGTTCCCCCCAATCCAGTATCAGAATTACCCGCATCCAAAATGATACGGACCCTCATACCGCTGACAGCCTCAAACCTGGCAACGCAGACTGCGCTGTGTAGTATATGCTCCAGATTCAGCACTGCGGACAGCTCCCTCATCAGCACGTCGGACAGCTTCTGGACCCAGCGCCTTCGACCTGCGCTCCATCTCGTTTTTTGCGTACAGGGGTCCCTTATTACTCCGTTCTGTCTCCTTTCTATCCCCACATATTCCGATTTTACCTCCGCATCTCCTGTCTCCTTTGCTTTCTTCATCTCTCCGCCCCCACACCTCCCACCTCCAATCGCTCAGCCTGTCCGTCTCACCGGCCCCTGAACCGCCGCCTCCTATTCCCACAGTTCTTGGCCTCTCTCGCCCCCAGCTCCTCAGGTCTCCAGCCCCCCAAGCTCTTCACTGCTTCTCCTTTGCATTGTTTAGCTACCTTATCCCCCGTCCTTTTTCTCTGTCTTATCTTTTTCTATCTTTGCTTCCCATTGCCCGCTTGCTTCGAACCCCCAGACTCCAATCTCTGCATAGGACTCCTTTTCTTAGCACTCCAGTTCCTCAATCTCTACCTCTTGGCATCCCATGCTCTGAGAACAGCCACCAACCAGTTTCCTCACCTTCCTCAGCAGTCCCGGGTCTCCCTGGTCCCAAAAGCAACGCGAGACAGAGCGGCATCAGGCAGACGAACAGACGCAGCGGATGTGGGCCGGCGCCGGTCTCCATGGTCCGCAAACCAAGCTGTCAGTGCAGCGGCGGCTCTAGCGCGCCAGCCCCAGCACCGCTGAGCAGTGCCCCCAGACCCAAGCACCGGCTGGAGGCGGGATCTCGTCAGTCACCATCATCCATGGGGGCCAATCACTAGGCACTGCCGCGGGAGGTCTACCAATGCCCGTCTACAGAGGATAAAGGGGTGGAGCTTCACAGGCCAGGGGCGGAACAGAAAACTGGAAGGTGGAAGGAAGGGATCCCGCCAATCTCCAAATCGTGGGGGGTGGGACAGCACTGTGAGCAGATCGGGCTTCTAAGGAAGGGGGTGAGCTGGCATTGGTAGCCAAGAACCCTAAGCCTTAGCTTCTTTCCAGAGAAGTAGACATTGTGGGCGTGGCATAAGGAGGGGCAAACCACGGGGAGGCAGCAACACATGCAGCCTCTGAGCTAGGCTGAAAGCTCCCTTGTTTCCTGGACTTGCAGGAGGTTTTGAAGGTTGATGTTCTGACCCCAGTTCTGGGGAGCTCCTCCATCTCTCAACCTTTCTTGGTGTGTCTGTGGCTCCTCTCTCCCAGCTCAATCCAGCCCCCTTTTCTCCCCGCCCTCTACGCATCTCTCTCTCTCTCTCTCTCTCTCTCTCTCTCTCTCTCTCTC